GTCGGTTCGGAGACATAGTGGTCATCTTGAAGTTTGCAAGCAAAAGAAAAAGAAACACCGGCTACTTGAACTTAATGGCATGGTCATTGGTTTTGGCTGGTCGCCACATTCCGATGCTGCCAGTTTGGGATTCCTCTGAGAGCGGTGAAGTGGTTTGAGATGTGACGGGCCCACGCTCCGCCGGGGATAGGATGAAGTTCCTCACAGGTGTCTCTTCCGGTATTTGCATTTAGGGCGGCGTTGTACTCTACACATATGGCGTCAAGGAAGGTATTTGCGTTTTGGTTATCATTATCTTCAATGAATTTACAGCTCAGCGGTTTGCAGTCTGACCCACCAACATTGGGCAAGCACCATTCGTAGCCCAACCCTTTTTTTTCACCCGAACGCCACTGCTTGGTCTTTGGCTCGAAGTATAGCCAGATTTGCAGCGTGAATTGATCCGCTGGTCTCAGACGTCAGGAGGCATTTGCATTTCCATGTTCCTAGCAATGACCAGGTCGATTGATCCACAGAAAACAAAGGTATACGACATGTAAATCGTACTTCGTACTCCCGTATGGAGGATGTACATTAGATGAGTTGTGCCCAACAGTCTAGCCCGATATAAACTGGTAAATTCCCCGCTTGAACGCCTCTGATGGAGCTCGAGACCTCTTTTAGATCTGCAGCATACCCAATATGGATCTATCTGCCCCGATTACATGGGCATCCATAGATGCGCTGTTGGTTTCCACTATTTTGGTTTCCCCTTGAAATTCGCAAATCAAAGGCGTCCAATCCGAACAAATTCCTGAAAATTCTCAAGCTAAATTCCTATCCGAGGGGTAAACTAAGCGCCGTGATGAGCATGCATCTCGACTTCCCTCGGCCACTCATATGGAGGGGAGCTGCATTGGACTATACCGCATCCAGGACAAAAGCGCTTCCATCAGCTTTCACCAATTAGAGAGCAAAGATGTATTACAATAATAGCTATACAATTGCTTCACACTACACCTTTCTCAAGGTCTTTCTTTCTGCAATCGGCCTTCAATTCACATATTAGGACATTTGTCAATGTCAAATCAGGACTTCGAATTCAGCGCTGTATCCGCTATACCCTCCTCCCAACCTAACCATCCAAGTATGCAGATGTATTGAAGAAACAGATATCACGTGTAGTATGCGCTAGGTAAGCGATAAGGGACCGGGCTCAGCTCCCTCGAGTGTTGCGCCCCCCATCTTTTTTTATTTCTCCTTTCCCTTGAGCTTTGTTTTCTTATATCCCATATACATTCGGCTATGGCCGTGAGGTCGCCGCTATCTGTCCTACCATACCACGTCGACTCCGCAAGTCCGGCTTACCATTCTCCACGCTCGATTTCAATGTAAGATACTCACTGGTGCACTGGTTCCTCGGAGTGTCGCTCATGCGTAAACAGGTCTCTTGACGAGGTTTTCAATGAGAATGAGAGTTCCCACTTCTCTGCTTCGGAGCCGATAAAGAACTTATCAGGGGCCGCCAATGAAGAGGATTGTGATGATTGTGATGATTGCGATTCAAATGGAGATGATAGCCCTCCCGAACCTATACGTGGATCTGTGGTTCCTTCTCAGCCAGGACTCACAGTATGTACAACGCGTGTGAGGCTATACATTGCAGTTGCGCTCACACCGTGTAGATCCAAACCGAATATCCAAATCATTTAGGAAACAGCACAAGATCGGACGACGATGAACCTCCGCAGTCGGTGATACATGCTCCGCCAGGATTTGGTGATTTTGTACGAATCCCATCAGGACTGTTGCCGGGTTGGCTAATGGTGAATCTACCTAGGCGCCAATGCAGCCCACTTTTGAGGGCACGGAGAAGTCACAGTCGCCTTCAGTCAGTTCAGATGAGCGAACTGATATAATAAATGTACCTACAAGGACGAGGAAGGTATTTTCCATGACGGTCTTTCCCCGTTTTATACCAGGGGCTAATGGACCTGAGCCCATACAGTTTGGCAATAGTCCAATATCACCGCCCCCATTGACAACATCCATCAGTCTCGCCAATGACTGTACCGAGCGAGCGACGCCACGTGCACAAACAAGGCATGAGTTCGAAGAGTTTGAGAGACGCACCCGTTCGAGTAGCTTGCAAGGTACTATAGCTGATTTCTTTCATGTCGTGCTTTGTTTCATGATAGTCCTTGCTGACCGTGTTTGAAGATATCCCTGAAGGTATCACCATGAGAGTAGATACATTTGAGTCCTAACAAACCTTACTAATCTTAATCCAGGACTAACAAGCAAAGAGGCCGAAATCAACGCCTTAAGAGCTGCTCTTGACGAATGCTGGACACTATGTAATACGCTGGCCAATCTTAGTTATATCCATCGAGAACGTCTTCTCAAATCCCACAACGATGATATGCAAGAGGATGCGTGGCGTTCATGTTGGAGGCTGTGTCAGAAGCTTTATGACACACGCGACGACGACTATGCATCGCAAATCCATCCGACTCTTGATCTCTGTCGAGATTTCTGCCAGGCACTATTCGAGGCTCGTATTCGCGATACTGACCTATCTGACTCGGTCTTACGGGTGAGCTTTGAGTTGAATAATCACCTTTACAACACGCACGATCGAAATCTTCCCGATGCTTTCCGCGAAAGAACCTTGGACTTTTATATCACTTTGTGTCACCGTCTCATGAAGCAGCGCACCCACATCACGGAGACAGACTCTCTCCTAAGTGCATGTTGGACATTAGCCGAGATGCTCTTCAGTATTCGCCAGAGTAAGAGGGAAGAGAAGCCACTGGATGAGGAGTTGTTAGGGTCTGCGGTTCAAGCCTGCTGGGAGCTTTGCGATCTCTTCCGCGAGGGCTGGACCCTCCATAATTTGCGCAACTCAGATCGAGGAACACCTCGGCCGAGCCAAACCACATTCTCCCAGGCATTCCATCAAACCTCGCAGCAGTCAGAGTTGGATTTTGGTGATGATCCAATGAGCCAACTCGGCAACCCCGAGACTCCCACCACTATATTCGAGGACATTGCAACGACCTCACCCGACGAGGCTCCGATTCCCAATATACTCGTATTGGGTTATGGGAACGGGCATAGTAACCCTCATACCAAGTGGTCATCCAATGCATCCAGTATTTCGGAGCAGTCCCGGTCATCCGGTCACACTGCGTCCTCGGCCAACACCGTGACCACTATCTCGGAAGACCCAAATCTCACGCGATTAAAGATCCTGATCACCAAAGCTGCCATAATCAGTGGGTACCAACGGGGTGGGAGCCAGAATCTCTCATCCTTTGTGAAATCACTTCCCTCGGACGCATTTGGCTCCGCGGCGTGGCAGACGTCGTTATTGAAGAATTATAGAAAGGTAGTGGCATTTGACCCGACGTTCCGAAGTGTTGGTCTGCAAGCCCGAGTGGGTGCCATTGATGTTGCGCATGCATGCCAGGCAATGCTGCAAAGCGGCCAGTACTCCTGGCTTCGTGACCTCTACCGGCTCGTCTTTGGGTTCCATATTGAAGAGGCGATGGGCCGCAAGGGTGTGATTATCCAGACCTAGCATCTGGGCCTATTACGACCAGTTTGCACTGTGTCCTATGGAAGGTGCTCTCCCCTGTTGGGAATGATGAGTTACGCGCAACTCGTCGACATCCGACGTAGGACGTGGGGGGCGAGTGTATCTTGTCGTGCTCCTATTGTGTACAGAATTGGTTTTATATTCCATATTTGGGGTTGGTATTCTCCCCTAATGGGTTCTCGTTGGAGTTTGGACTTGTTTTGTGGTCCATACGTCCATAACTCTGAGTGGGTGGAATCTCAATTTGCTTTCAGCCTCGAGGATAAAAGGCATATATTTCACATTCGTTTGCCAGGATCCTTGTAGGCGATGTTACATTGCATTTAATTAATTTCACATGGTTGATCCACTCCTACCCCAGATGTATGCAGCTCATCCCTCATCCGGGGGCGAGTGAAATGGAGTTATCTGATCAGATTCGAATATCTATATCCTAGAAATGTGTGACACTGTCTTCAATCCTACACGATAGGGGAGTCGAAATTTCAATCTATCTGCACGTACGGCGTAGATCTAAACATCATACTCATGGTGAGAATGTTCTGCGCCTTCGGAAGCCTGCCGTTTGAAAAGCATGGCGCATCAAGCCACGTTGAATTTGGCTTAGTGGGAACTGGGCAACTGAGACTTGGATCATGTGGTCGCAGGGAATACCTAGGGACGGGATAGAATGATTAATCGAATAGTTCACTTCCCTCAGATATACATGGTGAAGGTAAATCTATACCGGTATATTTGCTTCGGAGATAGAGATCGAAATCGAGATACAGATATATCGAGATATAGATATCAAGATAGCTTTGATTCTCAACTGAGCATTGGATTAGCTTTAGGCTTACTATTTAGTTTCTACCGGCCTATATGCATGTGAGATTCGTGTTTGGTCCCCTTTCCTAGTCGGGTAGACAACTCTGCCCTCGGCTTGACATCTTTTTCTTTTCTTTTCTGTTTACCCCCCTTTTTTTTTCCCTTGCCATTCCACGGTGGGGTATTCACCACATCCCCCGGGTTTTCTGGGTCCCTACGAGGGAACACACATAGTCCGAGCTTGGTGCCTCGTCCACGGTGAGAGCCATGTTTATATAAGGATTGAGCCTGTTCCCTCAGGAACTGCTCCTTGAGGTTCACAAAGCCCTATACCTTCCCATTTCCTTCTTTCCCTGGATAAGATATATATATATATATATATATATATATAGCCATACAGCGTTCCTCGGCCCTGGCATCATCTTTATATCAATTGGGATACCTGCATCGCCATGGTCGTTCCTACCTTCGCCGGCATGTCCGGAAAGCTCTTGTCGCGTGCGGTTAGCACAACTGCGACAATGGGATTTCTGTTGTTCGGTTATGATCGTGTGTGGTATTGATCCAAACCAGGCAGAGTGATGTGCTAATAAGATCTGCTGTAGAGGGTATCATGAGTGGTATCATTGACGCTCAAGCTTTCACTGATATCCTGACCGAGCTGAAAGGAAATGCAACTATGCAGGGCACCGTCACTGCTCTCTATGAGATTGGTAAGTCTTCGAGAATAAGCATTGGTTCGGATTTCCAGCTTGATGCTAAGATTACCCCAGGCTGCCTCTTTGGTGCCATATTCATGCTCATATGGGGTGACTGGCTCGGTCGTCGTAGGGGTATAATCAGCGGTGCTATAATCATGATCCTTGGGGTGATCGTGCAGGTGACTTCTTATGCCGACAAGCAGCCCCTCGCACAGTTTACCATCGGGCGTATAATCACTGGCGTGGGTAATGGAATGAACACTTCCACCATCCCCACCTACCAGGCCGGTAGGTATTCAATGAATTGACATAAAATCATGTTACCGCAGAGTCAGATTGTTAATTTTGAATCTAGAGTGCTCTCGGACCTCAAATCGGGGTCTTCTCATCTGTATAGAGGGTGGTACCATTGCGTTTGGTACACTGATTGCTTATTGGATTGATTTTGGCGCATCGTATGGCCCCCTGATCTGATTTGGCGTTTCCCTATTGCCTTCCAGTGCGTGTTTGGCTTGTTCATTATCGTCGGTATGATTCTTCTACCCGAGTCGCCGCGCTGGCTTTTCACGCGCGAACGCTACGAGGAAGGGGAGGAAGTTATTGCTGCACTCCTAGGGGCCGAACCGCAGTCCCACGAGGTAAATCTCCAGAAGAACATCATCATGGAGTCTATCCGCGCCTCTGGTCAGATGGGGAAGACCACCCCAATGTCCGCCGTCTTTACCGGTGGCAAGACTCAGCACTTCCGCCGTATGCTCCTCGGGGTGTCATCCCAGCTCATGCAACAGATTGGTGGATGCAATGCTGTTATCTACTACTTGCCTATCCTTTTCAGGGACTCAATCAAGCTGGAGGGAAAGCTTCCATCTATTCTCGGTGGTGTCAACATGATTGTCTACTCTATATTTGCCACTGCTTCTTGGTTTCTGATTGAACGAGTTGGTCGTCGCAAGCTTTTTCTGTACGGTACTGTTGGCCAGATGGTCTCGATGCTTATCACCTTCGCTTGCTTGGTTTCAGACAAGGCCGGCCCAGCCAAGGGTGCTGCTTTTGGTCTTTTTATCTACATTGCTAGCTTTGGTGCTACCTGGTTGCCACTGCCCTGGTGCGTCCTAGGCCTAAGTCTCAGATTTATATTTTACTGATGGAATTATAGGTTGTACCCAGCTGAAATCAGCCCAATCAAGACCCGTGCCAAAGCCAATGCACTTTCAACATGTTCCAACTGGCTTTTCAACTTTTTGATTGTGATGGTGACCCCGATCATGATCAAAAAGATTAAATGGGGAACATATCTCTTCTTTGCAGGGATGAACGCTTGCTTCTTACCCGTTATCTACTTTTTCTACCCCGAGACTGCCCGACGCTCTCTGGAAGAAATTGATCTGATATTTGCCAAGGGCTTCTCCGAAAATATCAGCTACGTGCGCGCTGCAAATGAGCTACCTTACCTTTCTGACGAGGATATTGAGCGTGTCGCGATCCAGTATGGATTTGCTACTGCTGACGAAACGAAAACCGGTGGGCTTACTGGAAGAGCGGACGATGCCTCTGAGTGTTACCAGCCAGTTCTTTGAACAAAAGAGTGCATTTCAACGAGATACTAAGTACAAAGAGAGAAGGAAAAGGAAGAAAGAAAACTATAAGACAGGATCCTTTGTGGGGTCCTATCACCCTAAACATTCAAACAATATAAACTCTATTAAGATAGAAATATCCAGTAGAATCTTCTCGGTAGAAAGGATCTACCTTCTAGATTGTTATATAACCCCTAACTAAGAATATAATTAGTCCTTAAATACTAGTTTATTATTATTACTATAGTCCTTAAGGAGTTAATCTTCTTTATTAGTATTAAGCTATTCCTATTTATATATAGAAGGACTAGGTTTTAAGGGGTACTATATATAGAACTCCTATACTTTCCTTAGTATATACTTTATATCACTAGTGGGATACTCTTATAAATTAAGGTTATATCCTACCTATTATACTTTATATTATAGCTTCTAGTAATATATCCTAGTGTCTAGAACCTTCTTAACTTCCTATTTATCTATCTCCCTAACCTATATTAGTAGAGGTATGTCTATATATTATCCTTCTAAGGGCTCTATTATAGCTACCTTTTATAGCTTACTTAGGTAAAAGATAGGGTATACTTAGATTATCTCTAGTAGATCTATCTTATAGGACTTACCTACTTTCTTAATAATCTTATATAGCCTACTAGCTAGGTATAAGAGCTTTCTACTTAGCTAATCCTAGAGCTAGTCCTTTATTATAATAAATACTAAGTCACTAACTCTAAAATCCTTTTCTTAGTAGTACTTATTCGCTTAATTACGGAGCGAAGCGAAGTAACCTATATCATAAGGGCTTATGTATACATCATGTGACCTTACTCCTATATAAGGTCTAAATCTATAGAGTTCTAATACGGTAAAAATATTATCGCTAAGAAATAGTAGAATAATTCTACTAGTAGTAGATATCCGCTAAGCCTAGTAATTATAATTCTTTACTATATGATATAAACCGCCTGAATCTAAATTCGATAGTAACTACGCAATTAAAACCTAGTACCTAACTAGGTAAAAACCTTGTCACTTCGCTCTATAAGGACTATCTAGTGGCCGAAGGCTACTAAGATCCCTTATAAATCTATAGCTACTATAACTTTATAACTTACTTCTTAGTCTAAGTCTAGATATCCTATAGCTTAGAGAGTATTTATACTATATCTTACTTATTTAGTATTACTATCTCTTAGTCTTTCTAGTTAAATATTATTAAAGGTTTATATCCTCTTTCTATAAAGAAAGATAATTTCTTTATTATATCCTAGGGGAGAATGAAAGCTATAAAATTAACTATTAGTAAAATCTCTAACTAGTTATCCTAGTTTTATTTAATATATAGTTATAACCTCTATACTATATACTAATTTATAATCTTACTCTACCTATCTATTTAGGGGTAGTATATAGTTAATAGTTTTCTCTTAATCCTAAGGATCCTATAGAATTTAGTCTAAAATTCGGAGATAAACTATCCTCTATAATTAGATATAATCGTTTCTAGAATCCCTATAATTTAAATAATATAGTTAATAAATAATTAGGCTATCTATTTAGTATTTATATCTTTATAATAAGGAATAGAGATTAGTCGCTTATTTAATTAGTTAATAATAATAAAGATAGTATTATAACTATAATAATCTTTAGGGAATAAATAGAAATCTATAGAGAGATACTACTAAGGTCTCTTAGGAATTAGTAGGGGTTATTACAGAGCGAAGCGAAGTAACCTATATTATAAGGGCTTAGGTATATACCACGTGACCTTACTCCTATATAAGGTCCAAATAGACTTCGGCAGAACCCATTTTGGGTCGGAACCTCCGACCCAAAACCCAACCCATTGGGTTTTGGGTTCCGCCCTCTATAACCCAACCCAACCCAAAACCCAATGGGTTAAACCCAATAACCCAATAATAACCCATTTAAACCCATTTTTGTATAAAATATAGGTCTTAGCGTTTATAATAATACTAAGTCATTCAAATAAATTACTGTTTTTTATAACTGTTCTAGTTTGTTCATCGAATATTACTATATTATCACAATATTAAGTTACAAAATCTATATAATTACCCTAAGTTTAAAGCTAATAGACTTTATATTATATTGATTACCGATAAAGATTTATATTAATTATAGTATAGTGGTATTCTATTAATTTAAGTATTTATTAACTATAGACTATTAAAAATAGGGTGTTGTTACACCCACCCCCCCTCTGGATCACACCACCCCCCCCTGCCTGAAAATTCAGTCACCGCCTTCCCGATAGGGTGCGACACTGAATTCTGCCTTAATTTGGCCAGTATAGAGTTTTCTGCCATATATTCTACCACAACCATATAATTCTGGTTTATATAGTAAAAAAGTGTGACGATCTGGAAGGTGGATCTTTTCTGCCGAAAAGATTTCCGCTGAAAGGATTCTGCCGAATCTTTCCGCCTTGATAGAGTTTACATTGTTTGTATACTTAGTGGTGATAGGGCCATACAAAGGATCCGGTCCTGAAGTTTTCTTTCTTCCTTTTCCTTCTCTCTCTATACTTAGTATTCTCGTTGAAATACACTCTTTTGTTTAAAGAACTAGCTAGTAATATAATACTAAGTACCACTCTTATTCTAACAAAGCAGTATAACTATATAGACTATCATTGTGATTAGTCTCGGTCCCGCTTTACCCTACTTTCGTTCCTTGGTATTGTATAGCTAAGACCTAATCCGAACCGAAACCCGAACCCGAACCTAATATCTGACCAATTAGAATAGCTAGATCGAAGCGAAACCTAGCTACTAGTCGTGGTAAGTAGCCTATCGCTATATCTAATAAAGAAGATAGTAATAAGTAAGAGATAGTTACTTATAACCTAAATACCCTAATCCCCGAACCGTAGAGACTAGTTAGTACTAGTGAATATAAGGAAGATAATAATAATAGAGAAGGCTTCTCTATTCGTGAGCGACTATGGAAGACTCCGACTTATAAACGATTTCACGAACTCGCCTATAAATACCAGAACTTAAGAAAGAGAGTCTAGGAATTAGAGGACGAGTTAGCTATCCTATATTCTAACAAAATTAAGGCTAAGATAATCATCGAGGCGCTCACTTAGGAGCGAGATAAGGCGATCGCCTACCGAGATATCGCTATCTATAAACGCGGTGATCTTACCTTTCGCCTTATGAATCTCTAGAGCTAGACTAGTGTCGGCGCGCCGATTGTGGAGGCCGCTACTACCTAGAAGTCTATAAAGATACCTAACGCTCCGATACTTAGCGATAGTAAAGAAGTCCGATTTAAAGTGTGGGAAACTATTATCCGGTAGAAAATTAAAGCGAATACCGATTACTACCTATTACTAGTGTACTATAAGCTCTATATATAGAGTTATTACGAAGGGAAGGCCTAGTTATATATTAGACCCTAAATAAGCTCTAAGTCAAGTAACCCCTATATAGACACTAAGGATATAATTATCCACTTAAAAACTATTTTTACGAATCCGAACCAATATACTAAGGCCTATATAGTGTACTATAAATTAATAATAAAGCTAAAGGATAGCTTTACTAATTTCCTTACTAAGTTTATATAGCTTATAGAAGAAGCCACTATAATTAAGGAGAACTATAAGTGTGACTTATACTCGAAGCTACTATATCTACTATAGAGCTAGGTAATATAGGTAGTTAATTAGGAAGCTATAATATTCGAATCTTTCTCTAAGACTTACTAGAGTATATCTTACGAGATTAACCTCTAGTAGGAGGTAAAGACTACTTCCTATATATAATCCACTATTACTCCTAGTGGTAGTATAGGAGTAGGATTAACTATAAAGTTAACCTTTACCCCCTATATAAAACGTAAAGAAAGCTCTAACCCTAGAAGACTCTTAAGCGCTAAGTGGGATACCCTAATAAAAGAAGGTCGATACTTTAACTATAAGGAGTAAGGATATATAACCTATGACTATCCGAAGAAGAAGCTAGTTAGTACTATTACTATAGCTTAGTCTTCTCCCTATATTATTAAGCTTAACAATAAGAAGGATAACGATCAGGGAAAAGTCGATATCTAGGTTAAGTCTCCTACCTAGGTAGATAGAAGGTATCACTATACTCACTAGATTTATATAAGTTGATTAGAGGTCCTAGGGATAGTTTAGTTTTCGATACTAGACTAATATATAATAGATACTCTTTTTCTATTTTAGCGCTTAGTGATACCGGAGTAGATAGATATATATTCTTAAACCGGGAGTTAAGTGTACTTCTTAGTAAATAATTTAGATTAAAAGCCGAAAGTATAGGATAGGAGTGTCTAGTTTAAGGATTTAATAGGAAGCTTAGTAAACTAATAATATATATTACCTTTCTTACAATATATATAGATAGTAGGATATAGTAGTAAGTTCCGATATTAATCGCTAATCTTAGAAAATATAATATAATCCTTAGAAGGAAATAGTTTATAGACAATAATATCCTATTAGATTATTATCGATACTAAATAATCTAGCTAGATAAGAAGACTCTCTTTGATAAGGTATTAAGTAAGATAGTAATACTAACACTAACCACTATTCTCTAGAGACTAAAACTAAACCCTAATTATTAAGCTAATATTAATCGATAAGACTATCTTTTTAGCCGAAAGGAATTAGAAATAAAGGATAGCTATAGATATACCTAGGAACGATAGTATAGACACTAGTAAATTAAAGAATAACAAAAGATAGGTTATAACCTAAATAATAGGAGTAAGATAGTAGTCTCGAAGACTTAACGATAGGATAAATTACTAATAATCAATATTAGTGCTATCGGAGGTATTAGTTTTAATAGACTCTATAAGAAAGGGAAGACTAATAGAGAAATCGAAACCTTTATTACTTCGCTCTATAAGATCGACTATATTATTAAAGTAAAGAGTATATAGGCTTAGGACCCCGAAATTAACTAAATCCTAAGGACTCTTCCGAAAGAATACTA